CAGCCCATTGCCGAACACGTTTGCTGTCCTTTCCTCCAAAGGCACCCTGAGGTCTGGGTGCGAGTCTTGTCTGCTGCTTTAGAAGGATCCATCCTATCCCCTATTTGCAGCCAGGACAGGTTGCCAAGTGGAGAAATTTCTCAAAGGTGAACAGCAAACGTGGTATTACTCAATGGGCTTTTTAGTCATGCTCAAAATGGAGGGCATCTTAATAATAATAATAATAATAATAATAATAATAATATTTATTTATATACTGTCCTTTGGTAACCCAATCAGGGCGGTTAACAACATTAAAATATAATACCATGTAAAACATTTTAGAACTCTTCCTGGATAGAAGTTTGAAATGTAGGACATGTCTTGGGAAAGGAGGACATCTGGCCACTCGGTGTATGATAGCCCCCCAAACACATCCACCCACTTTGGGTCTAAAGAGTGTGCATCTCTGCCAAGAGAAGGAGAGCATCTTCCAAGAGTTTTGCAGCCCTGCTGCTCCAGAGATGCTTCTGGGTAGACTTTAGACCCAGATTGTTCTGCAGCTGTTTATTTATGTTCTTTATTCTCAGCCAAATCCTCTCGATTCCCTTCCCACTCAAGCTGCTGTTATGTCCTCCGGGACCACCAAGGCTGCAAAGGGACAGAGATTGCTAGCAACAAACGCTTTCGACCGAAACACCCTTGGGACTCCAAAGTCTCCTTTTAATTCCTTCCTCCAAAAAGGTCTGAAAGACCGATGGGTTCACATGGGGACATGCTACAGATTCCCAGGACTGGGGAATGCCAGATTTTGGGGCAACTTGGCCTGGAGTCTCCAGCCCTGAGGGCAAGGGGGAAGAATCTCAGGGCAAGAGTCCTGCTTTGAAAAGTGTGTGGCGTATCAAGTGTATACAAAACATACTGCATATACTCATGTATAGGTTTAGAAATGTCGGTCAAAAAAGTGACCCCAAAAAACTTATTGATGAGTCAATGTAAGTACTATAACTCTTCTTTTAAAAAGGGACCATCATCTGGAGAAAGGCAAGAGCATAATCTCTCCTGGAATCACTCTATTCTCTCTGCTGGAATTCTGTAACAAATGTTGGCATTGTCTTGCATTGCTTCATCCTTTAGATCAGGGGTAGGCAACCTTTCCTCTTTAAGGGCCGAGGGACTTCAGCTCCCAGAAGCCTCAGCCATGTTGGCCAATAGTCCCATGTTGGCCAATAGCTCCTGGGATTCTGGGAGCTGAAGTCCCTCGGCCCTTAAAGGGGAAAAAAGGTTGCCTACCCCTGCTTTAAACCCTTTGTCGCATGCTTCTAAGTTTTACCCTCGACTTATCCATGGATCATGTTCTTAAGTCTGGCCCCCAAACCTGCCCTGGACTTATACATGAAGTTGGCTTATAGTTGAGTGCGTACGGTAAATGAAATTTGGTGTTTAGACCTGGGTCCCATCTCCAAGATGTCTCATTGTTTGTTTATTTCACTGCAAACACGCTCCTGCAACCGGACACCAAAGGGTCTCTCCTCTTAGGGCATGGTTTCCAGACCCTTCACCATTTCACCCCTTCAAATATTTAAACAGGGCTATCATGTCCCCTCTTAACCTTCCCTTCTCCAGGCTAAACATCCCCAGCTCCCTAAATCTCTTCTCATAGGGCTCCATGGTTTTCCAGAGCCTTCGCCATTTTGGTCACCCTTCTTTGGACACGCTCCAGTTTTTCAATTTCCCTTTTGAATTGTGATGCCCAGAACTGGAGACAGGATTATTCCAAGTGAAGTCTGACCAAAGCAGAAGAGAGTGGCACCATGACTTCCCTTGATCTAGACACTATACTTCTATTTTTTTAAATGTCATTTTTATTGGACGATTTTCACACGTTACACATAAAACATCAAAACGTACAAATACACTAAACACAATAAACACTATGTACCTAACATCACACTCCAAACATAAATCTCAATGCAATATACATTTATCTAAAATCTATCTATGTCAATTTTATACATAAAATTCTATTGGGTCATGGTAATTCTTTCCTTCTCCTAACATCTTCTGTCTTTCTTTCTTCCTTACTGTCTCCCTTTCTTCTCTCCTTTTCTCTTTCTCTTTACAACTTCCTTTCTTCTTCCTCTACCTCTCCATTTCATCTCTCCTTCCATTCTCCCTTCTCTCCTTTTCACCCTTCTATTTTCCTCCCTTCCTTTCCTTCCCTCCATTCAGCCTCGAGTTCACTTACGCCTACCTTCTTTCACTTACTTAATTTCCAACTTCTATTTCTCTTTAATCCCTTTTTTCTTCTTCTAATCTTTCTTTTATCCCCTCTTCGTGAGTTAAGTCCAAAAGCTATAGTGATCCTCTTTTTCACACAAACATACATTTGCCTAATAATACATAAACATTTCATATTTCTTACATTCAAACATCACGTACTTCCCATCTTATAAATTCGATTGAACGTATGTCTATTGATGCAGCCTAGAATCGCATTGGCCTTTTTAGCTGCCGCATCGCACTGTTGACTCATGTTCAACTTGTGGTCTACTAAGACTCCTAGATACCTTTCACGCGTACTTTTGTTTTCTCCATCCTATATCTATGCATTTCATTTTTTTTTCTGCCTAAGTGCAGTACCTGACATTTCTCAATGTTGAAATTCGTTTTGTTGGGTTTAGTCTAGATTAGAAAGCTGGGTCTCCATTGTGAGAGGCTTTATTAATGGAGATCTACCTGTATTTAAAGCCGCACCTGTTACCTGCATGATAAGATATCTCCTCTCACCTCATTACCCCTTCACTGGTCTTCTAAAGGCATTAGATACTCAGCCAGGAGCTTCGGGACGGATAAAAGGTAAGCAAATACATCAAGAGCTATATTAAGTAAAAGCCTGTGCAAAAACACACACGGTGCTAATTATACTAAAGTTCTAAATTAGTACAATGCAAAAGATGAAATGGAACCAATGGGGAAAAATAATATGGAAACATGGAAAAAAACAGCTCTTCCGGTTTTGCACTTTGCCGCTCTTTCCCTTCACATCTCTATGATCTGCGCAAGCTTTGTAAATAGGGCAGCCGCCATCCCGCACTTCAGGCCCAGACCTTAAGGGGTCGCTCTAAGGAATTCGACAGTGAATATTTTTAACTGGTCTACAATTTAAAATTTTAATTTATAATTTAAAATTATAAAAAAATATAATTTAAAAAAAATCCTGAAGAAAATTCTGTTTAAAAAATGTTTATTTCCATAATAAATATAATTTAAATTATTTAATTTAAATTTATTTATTTATTTTAATTTATTTATTTAAATTAAATTAAATTAACACCTATAATTTAAAATTAAAATTACAAAATTATTATAATTTTAAAAAAATATCCTGAGGAAAATTGTTTAAAAATATCTTTATTTCCATAATAAATATAATTTAATTTAAATTAATTGCTTTAATTTACATTAATTAATTAAAGTTTATTTAATTTTAAATTTATAATTTAAAATTAAAATTTAAAAAAATTATACTTTAAAAAATCCTGAAGAAAATTCTGTTTAAAAATATATTTATTTCCATAATAAATTTAACTTAATTTTAATTAATTAATTAAATTTAAAATTTAAAATTTAAATTAAACAATATAATTTTAAAAATCCTGAGGAAAATTCTGTTTAAAATATTTTTATTTCCATAATAAATTAAAAAAATTCTAATTATGAGGAAAATTCTGTTTAAAAATATTTTATTTATTTAGCGCAATTTTAATTAATTAATTAATTGAATTAATTAAAAATTAAAAATTAAAAAATTATAATTTAAAAAATCCTGAGAAAAATTCTGTTTAAAAATATTTTTATTTCCAATATACATATACATATATATATATATATATATAGCCATATCCATAAATAATAATAATAATAATCAAAAATGAAAGGGGGAGAAATGTATTCCAATTTGCCATATTTCAGCGAGGCGAAGAGAGGCGTATTTGCATATTCATGAGGCGTATTCATGAGTTCCCCTCTCTATGAGGTAAATAGGCAGCGGGTGGGAGACGCCCCCGTGCGCGCTGACGTCAAGAGGCCGGCGCGGCGTGAGGCGTTGACGCGCGAGCGTGGCGTGACGTAGCGTGCGCGCCGACGTCATCGGAGCCACCGTGAGGGCGGGGGGCCGCGCCTGGCGGGCGAGGATGGTGGCCGGCGCCTTCCCGATCGCCAAGCTCCTCTACTTGGGCGTCCGGCAGATCTCGAAGCCCTTGGCCGCCCGCATCAAGGACGGGGCGCGCGCCAGCCCCTTCTTCCGGCAGTACATCTGCGGGCCCCCCGCGCAGAGTGAGTAACTAAGCCGGGAGACGGAGCGGTGGGGCCCTCACGGCCCATAGGAGGAGCCGCCTGTCAGTATTAGGCGGGCGGCCAATGGAAGCGCGAGTGGGCGGGGCCAGGTGCTGGGAGGGGACTTGTTGAAGGAATGGACCAATAGGAGCCGCGCGAGGGCGGGCTCTGATTGAGGCGCTTGGGCCAATCCGAGGGCGTGGAACGTCCAAGGCTGGGCGAGGGAGGGACGCCATTTTGGACGAGGGAGGCTGGGAAATGTAGTCAAAATGGTAACCCAGGTCAAGGGGAAGAGCATGTGCTGCCATCATTTCACAGAGGAATGCAGGAACTGCTTTGGCCAAGCAAAGCGAGAAGGGAGTAGGTCAGGATGGTTGAAAACGATGAATGGGGAATAAAAGACAAGCCAGGAAAGGCTGCAGCAGTTTGGTTTTGCCTGATCCCACTGGGAAGGACATGATTCCTTCTGAACTCTTGCTAACTGTTAACTGACTGCAAATGACTTTGGATTTGGAGCAGTTGAAGTTAGCTGGGAGGGAGGCCATGGGGGCCAAAAAGAGGAAGGAGAGACAATCTAGGAGAAGGGTGCAGCAGTTTGCTTTTGCCTGAACCATCTGGGAAGGGCAGGATTCCCCTGAGGCTGAGAGAGTGTGACTCGCCCAGGGTCACCTAGTGGAGTTCCATGTCTGAGCAGGGACTCGAACCCTGGTTTCCAGAGTCATAGTCCAACACACTCTAACCATTACACTACTCTGTCTCTCTAGAGGATGAATAGTGCACCATTTTGACCTTTCCCTCAGGCAGCAAAATATTTTGGGGCTGGCTATATAAAGAGGACATAGTGGTGTTTTTTTAAAAAATATTTTAACAATATATAATGTACAGAATAATATCATTCAAAATATTTCAAATATACATATTTGACAGTTTGACTTCCTACGTGCATCTAGTTTATATAAACTTTTATCGCTTAAATCTTATTGCCACCAATACAAGTACAGAATTATTTCTGTTCCTCTGTGCTTTAAACCATCAAGCTGGCCATGGGGATTCTGGGAACTGCCATCCCAAAAAGTCCAAGCATTTCAAGCTTAGGGTTGGGCGCAAGAGCTTCTCTCTCTCTCCTGTCCTTCTGGTGCTGCTCAGGCGCTTCTAATGCTCTCCCTTTCTTTCCTCCTGCAGTTTATCACTGGGTGGAGATGCGGGCCAAGATGCGAATTATGGGATTCCGGGGGGCGGCCATCAAGCCGCTGAGCGAGGAGGCGGCGGCGGACTTGGGTGCGGAACTGCTGGGCGAAGCCATCGTCTTCGGGGTGGGGGGGCTCTGCATTTACTTGGAGTACGCCCGCCAGTCCGCCAACAGCCAGAAGAAGGAGGACGAGTTGAACAGCACCCTCCTCAGCCTTCAGGAACAGATTTCGGAGCTGAACTTGACTGTGGAGACCTTGGATGCGCGCTTACGGGAAGCCAACCGGATCCTCGTGGAGGTTTCTACCGCTCCCCAGAAGAAATAACCCGGCCCTGGATGGGAAGCGTGGTTGTTTTTCCCCCCCGGATGGCACTCCTGTTATAAGCTGTGTGGGAAGACCCACTGCTGGAAGAAGGCCACCGAGGAGAGATACGCGGACCCTACCGAGTGCAGTAGGATTTGGGGTGCAAGGGTCCTTTGACTCGCCCCGTGACCCTCAGCTGCTGAATTGATTGACCTCTTCCTAAATATGTAAATACTGAACCTATTAAAGCAAAGGAGGCAAAGAAATCAAACCGCTTTGTTTTTGCAATGACTGCGAAGGAGCTACGAAATCAGTACGCTCGTCCTTCCGCGTTTGTGGATTTGGCTTTTGAGGATCTGATTATTCACGGATTTTATTAATATGTTCTCTCTAGGAATATCTAGGTCCTCCAGTGCAACTCCATGGTCAACTTTAACCAAAAGTTGCCCTGAAGGACCTAGAGATTGCTAGAGAGGTGTTCTCTCAGGTAAAAACAGTGTTTTTGTTATTTGCGGTTTTTCCACATTTGCGGGGGGTCCTGTGCCCCTAACTCCAGAAAATGTGGAGGGATGAGAAATCTTTTTTACAGAAATCTTGAAAGAGGGATCTGAAAGGCAGGGACTGTCTAGATTGGGCATTAGACACAGCCTTCAAAACTCCATGTTTGTGGTTGTGGAATAGATGAGCTTTTAAGTTGGTTTTGAGTCTGGGCTTCCTCAGGTTGTAGTAGGCTGCATCCACACTGCAGAAATAATCCGGTTTGACACCACTTTAGCTGCCATAGCTCAATGCTATGGAATTCTGGTGCCTCGACCAACTACACTTCCCAGAATTCCATAGCATTGAGCCATGGTAGCTAAAGTGGTGTCAAACTGGATTATTTCTGCAGTGCAGATGCAATATTAGTCTTGAAACTACTGACTTATATTTGATCATCTGATTAGCCTGCAAGGCCAAAACATGGGAGAGGAAGCAGGCAGAATGAGGTTGCGACTGGGGAAAGGTGGAACCCTATTTTTTAGACCCAGTATGGCCTAGCGGTTTGAGTGTTGGACAAAATGGGAGCTGAGAATTTTAACCCCCATTCAGCCATGGAAAACCATTGGGTGGCCTTGGACAAGGCACACTCTCTCAGCTGAAGAGGAAAGCAATGGCAAACATCCTGCCAAGAAAACCCTAAGAGAGAGTCATCATAAATGAAGTCACAAAGCAACAAAAATCCAAGAAAGTCAAAGTCTGCCCATCCCTATGCTAAGAAAAGCATGAAACCCTCCAAAATTAGATCTTTTTCTGATCTCCAAAAGAGCTCATTGCCTTACAGACTATTCGTACGCCTTTAACCCAGCCCCACTTCTAGGAGGCTGACTCCTTATATTCTGTGCCTTTAAGACAAGTCTTGTAGCTTGTCCAAATTTCCCGGTGCGTCATGTTCCATAGCCTCCAGTGCTGTTGCGACAAGCTACTTAAATATTAACTCCTTTAAAAGTACCTGTATTGATTGTTCTTGGGCAGAAGGAGAAACGAAATGCACAAAAGCAAAAGAGCACTGAAAAGGAGTCTAGAGAGGTAAGGTGAGGGAACACATGAATAAAAACCATTAGATGGCCCTGTGCTCAGCCTTGCTTGGTCTTCTCAAAAAATCCCTCTTAATCCCTATTTTTAGAGCAGGATTATCGGAGCCCGTAAAAAGGATCTTGTTGCACAAGAAACTGAACCGTAAGCTCGAGAGTCATGGCCCCGGGGAATTGTAAAGTGGAAAGGAAGGCCAGTAACTCCTCTCCATTTGGGAGTGGGCTTTTAGCGGCTTCCCTCTCCACTCTGATTCTGACCTTGAAGCTCTTTTTCTAGGGCAAAATAAATATTGGTTTGTCCTTGGAGGAATATTATAAACTGTTTTTCCTACCATTTGGTATGTAGGGTCAGCTTTCTGCAGAGGTGCACAACACCAAAGGCACCAGAATCCTTTGAAATGGCCGAGGGAGGCTATTGGAATAGGATGGTTCTATATGCAGCGCTAAGAGAGCCACCTTGGTGTATTGGTTTGACCAGGGTTCGGGTCCCGGCTCAGCCATCGAAACCCCTTGGATGAGTGCAAATCACACATGCTCAGCCTCAGAGGAAGGCAAAGGCAATCTCCTCTGAACAAATCTTGCTAAGAACACCCTGCAGTAAGTTTGACATTGGTGTGTGCCCTCGGAAGTAATTTCCAATTTATGGCAAACCCTTTTCTAGGCTGAGAGTGTGTGACTCAGGACCAAGGTCAATGAGCTGTTCAACATGCAATATTAAGGGCCAGCAGATGGCACTGTTGCTTTGCAAAGAAATTCTTTTCGATCCACTCCCTGCTTTGGAACTCTGGGATTTGTAGTTTCGTATGGTACTACAGCTCTCTGCAGATTAGGAGTTGAATTCTGTTAGACTTACCATATTGAATTCTATTAAAAAACCCTCTGATCCCAAAACCAAGAAAACAAAGACACAACATGTCCTTTTTTTCTTTTTCTTCTTCTTTTTTTTTTTTTTTTGCAATTTTACAAAAAAGGAAAAACAAAAGATTTATTTCTAAAGAAGTTTGGTGCATGTGCCCAAGATCCTCATGCTCAGCTGTGGATAAGCGAGCAGGTGCTGTGTGTGTCTGTGTTGGAAGGAAAGAGGTGTGTAGAAATTGGGCGGAAATACCCAGCAGATCAGTAACAATAATAATAATAATAATAATTTTTAAAAAATCAAAATATAATAGCCCATCCAGCTCAACAACAACAAAAACCCAAAACAAAGGGGTTTTTTTCTTTAAAAAAAATTACAGCTCAGTAGAAAAGCCAAGAGCCCTGGTTTTCTGCCCCTGCCCATGGCCACAAAGGAGGTAGAGGGGCAGAAATGTTATTTAAAAAATTACCCAGAGAGATGGGGAGGGGGCAGCAGGCATTGGAGAAAATATTCTAAGGGCGACCCCATCTCTGTATTTAAAATTATTTAAAAATTACAAAACCAAGATAAAACAGCAGTGTTTTTTTGGGGGGGGGAAGAGTAGGAGGGTCCTGAAAGTTATGTGGGAGGGGGGTTCTGATGGAAACCCCACAAACAGAGACCCCATTATAGGGAAGAGTTCCTTTATTTGGCATGTGTGAGAAGCGCAGGGGCATGCATTGGATGGAGTAGCCACGGTCTTCTGGGCAGATGGCAACTGGAAGGTCGTGGGCCCAGATCTGGCCCCCTTTTGTTGCTTTCATAGCCGGACAATGTCTTTTTGGGGTCTCTTCTCTTGCCTCCTTGCAGCCTCTTCTGCAAAAAGGAAACCGTTTGGTGCCTTTCCTTCGAATTAAAGAAGGGAAAGATATGCTCCAACTTGCCCCAGAATAGGGTCATAGCCAGCTGGGTTGCCAAACTTTACCTTCAGGAATCTTCTTCGCTTTGATTTTCAGCGGGCAGAGGTTGCCGTTGCTTCCAAAAAAATAGGATCTGCCCCCGTTTTTGGTTCCTTCCTCTCTGGCTGGGCAGCCTAGTCTAAAACTCCCCCCCC